CAATGCAAAATGACATATTAAAATGGCAAAATTTGGCCCATGTTTGCCTACTACATCATTCAAGTGACTGTATTCCAACTATAGTGCTATAGTTTTCTGAAATGCATGCCCAAAAGGCTAATTGTGTCTGCCCCTGATTATAGGAATCTTCTGCAGCTGTTCTTATTCACAATTTGTCTTTAATGCAGCCAGTATGATCAACTCTGCAATGACTACCAGAATTGAATCTGGTATGTCAAGAAACCTTCTCTTTGAGGCAAACACGATAAATGAAAGATACCAAAAATAATCAAAACAGCAGGAGGAAGAAGATTAAGCAGAAAGTGCATTCCTCTTCAGCTGTACTACACATCATCAGTTGTTGAATTTTACCAGACCAATTTAATTCACAAGGATCAGAAAGTATTTCAGAGTGCATACACATAAAGCAATACTGTACTTTCTTTAGATGGCAGGAAGCAATATATGAGTATGATATTAAATAAGTATGAATGGAGAAAGAAGTGCCTTGGATAAGACACAGTAAATCTTAAATGTCATGCCCAGCAACACAGTATTTTAAATAAGAAAGAAAACATTTTCTTTTTAGAGCTTACTGGAAAATAACAAATTTTGGGTTGTTTGGGTTTTGTTCTTTTTTTTTGGGTTTTTTTTTTTTGGTGGGATGAATAAAAGTCCAATTTTTGTATTTTTCCATCCCTAACACTAAGTTTGACTTCTTGGCATCAGGCATCTGACTACAGCTGCATTTAGTCCATGTATACAGAGACTTGTGATTCTTAAAGGGGAGCAAGAAAATTTTCTTTGTTCTGCAATTCCTTTATTTTTTTTCTTTCAGAATAAGTATGCAATCAAGGCCTTTAAAAATGAAAAGTGCAACACTTCCAAGCCAGAATATATAATAGTGCATAAAATGAAGGGTTTAGAAACTACAGCACTAGGATGATGTTTTCAGGAAGGAAAGTGTTACTCCCACTTTTCCTCATTTCTAAGCCTTTGGGCCACACAATTTTACCCATTCCACTTGGTCAGCTTAGTACTTCTTGGAACCATTGGTCAGCCAAACTGGCTGAAATCCCTGAAAATTAGACTAATTAAGCAGCCAAGCAAGAAGAGCAAAAGTAAGATTTTTTTTTTCCCCACCCAGTTCATTGACAAAGCAGCAGGACTGACATAAGGGACAGGGAAAGCTCCGAGCAGATGAAAACCAGGATCAGAGAAGGTCTTGGAGGGTAGCTCCTTTTAATTCTAATGAGCTGTGAGAGGGGGTCTGGTACCTTTGTATCAGATACTGATATAGGTGTGCTCCTGAGGATGTGGCAATTGTGTATTTTGTCACAGTTTTAAAATATTCTGGAACTCCTAGATATTTGTGGACAATATCCTACAAAGTGCTTGGTAATTGGGTGAGATATCATAGCATCTTGATGTAAGATTTTAATCACAAGTATGCACAGCTTATCACACAGATATAGTTTCTACTTCTATTTCACATATCTGAAGGTCACAATGACACTGTAGTTTGCTGACATTATCTTCACTAAGACACAAGACATAAAACAAATCCTTCCCTAGTGACTGATCCTTCTCCCATACACTCTGCAACTGGAAAGAAAAATGCAGAACCATTCACTCTTGTCTTTGCTTAGGCAAATGGTTTGCCCTCCAGGATTCTTACCTCAGCTGCTTCATTCACTTAATAGAGAACCAACTAATTTTTGCAACTTGCCTGAAATACTATTTCTTCAGTAATGATGATCTAACATCCACTGGTTATTGACCAGGTAAGAGTCAAATTCCTGAAAAGCAGCACATAGGCCTCTTTCTGTTACTCCTATCATGACATAGGTGAACAAAAAGACCTAAGAAACACACTACTCTTGCAGTAGTACTGCAATCATCCAAAACTCCTTAAGAAATTTTCCTGCCTGCAAAGTCTGAGTTTTCCCGAGACACAGGTTTTCTTTTCTCCCATGCTTCTGAGTTTCCATTGTACACAAGCCAAAAAAAACCCCAAACTTTTTATAATACTGTCCAATTACCTTCTCCACTGTAACACACCCTAAATGTTTTGAACATCTGGCTGTTAGAAAGATACTCTGGAAATTGTAATATTTAGACGATGATGGAGTATGTATAATTAAAAAGCAATTTTGAAGTAATTACATCTCTCCAGCATTTACCATAATAAGAAGCATTTTGGGAGAACAGTAAGTCCAAATGTTCCAGAAAAACTAAATTTTGAGGAATGAAGATGATATAATATGAAGATATGGCCCGAAAATACTGTATTTTTAACCAACATCTTTGAGGGGCAGAAACTGTACAATATTAGTTTTTCAAAAAAACCTATTTCCATCCCTCAAGCAACACACAACACATGCATTTAAGTGACACTTCAAGAACAGCAAATATTATTTTTAAATACTCTTAAGTTTAAAAATGCATCTGACACTCCTTCCATAAAAGAATAAAAATATTAAGAACTGGTGAAATAAGGATTTCCTGCAGCATTGTAAACGAGGAAATCAGCTTAAACTGTATTCTGAGAGCAAAAAAACTTCAAATAATTTACATTAAACTTTATGTATCTTTTACACTGTTTTCAAAATCTCTATTCTCTATTTATCTGAGCATGGCTACTGTGAAAAAGCAAACCTACAGTAAAATTCTTTAATCATCTAAATTGTGACCCCAATGTATTGAATAGATAGAAAAATGTCTTGTTTGACTGATAGAACTCAAAATGCTACAGATAACCAAAAGGCAAAACAGAAAAAATATCAGTAGCTCCACTTCTCAAAATAAGCTATTGTTTTGCAACACTACTAAACTAACAAGTTGCAAAGGCTTTAGTTGTTTAATGTCTATTAAATTCTAGAATTTATGGTTTATGTTAAAAGAGGGACCATATTTGTAAAAGTGTCAATTTCTAAAATACCACAGTTAATTAAATACCAGGACATATAAATTTTCTAAATTATTTATGTCAGTCTCTCCAAAACATAGCTACTTTACTAATCTCTTAACTAGAGGTAGGTCATGTGTAGGCCTTGTTAATATGTGAACACTTCATTAGTTCACTAATGTAATAGTTTGCAGGGTAACTATGCACAGAGCTCCAAGAATAGCAGCACATGTAATAAATTAAATGTCTAAATTTTATTTTTTTTTCATGTGGATTAACATGTATTTGTTTTCTCCTAATACTTCATTCTTCTGCAAAGAATGTTTAACAAGAAAAGGGTCATGAGGTTGAGTAATCTGAAAGTCTTCTGCACCTTACAACTCAAGGCTGGGAGTCTAGCAATATCTATATGCAGCCCTTTTCCCCCCTATAGTTTTTGCAAATCATGCAGTCAATTCTGACTGTTATCCAGCATTAAAAGTCTCTTCTCCACTTTCAAACTTTAAAAAGTGATTCACAATCATGTGGCAGTATGATTAAAAAGTACAGTCCATACACCTTGACAATCAAAAGAGACTGAATTATAAAAAGTAAACTGCCCTTATAGCTGCATCCTACATCTATAAGGACAGTGACAGTTAATTTGTGAAAAGGCAAGTTCCAGGTTTCTGTAAAACACATATTACAGCTTTCTTGTGCTAGTGAACATTAAGAATACACAGGTTCCCAAGACATTTTCCTTCCCTCCTCCCCCATTTAAAACATTCAAAGGAAACACATCATTTTGGCAAAGTTAAAAGGGTTTCTGTCTTCATGTTTTTGCCTTCAGCTGCATGTTAGAGGCACAGACTTCTGGACTTAAGCACTATAAGGCATAGTAGAAACCACCAATTAAAACAACAGCAACACCACCACCACCACAATGGAATACACTACAAGTGGGAACAGCTGTGTTATTTAAAAAGAAAATGTTTTGTAAACTGTCATACTGCAATGCTGTGTTAGGTGATTCATGTAAAGCTTGCCTTGACATGCCAAATATTTTTTTTTTCCCAGAACATGCTCAAATGATCTAAGCATTGCCACAGGTTCAACTTACCTAAAAACATACCAGAAAATAGCCTAGTGGCACACACTCTTGAAAACTTTTGCAATCACAATATAACTATAAAGCATGAGTAAACTTTTGTTTTGTTTTTATACAAAACTTGGAACCACATTTCCTTCTCCCCCATCCAATATCCCATACGGAAAAAAAAAAATTAAAAAACCCCAAACTTTTGTTAGACACCACTGTCTAGGCTTTTTGTTTGGTTGTGTTTGTATTTTTTTTTTCTTCTTTTCCCTCTTTTTTTTTTTTTTTTTTTTTTTTTTTTTTTTTTTCTTTTTTTTTTTTTCTCCCTTTTTTGACTACAGTTCCATTTATAGCACTGAATCCAGTGTGGGCAATGTATTCCCAGATGTAAAAAAGGGATATTATCAAAAGCAGAACTGTAAAAACAAAAGCTCTGTTGCATTTATAGCATGATCAGGACCAATTCTGTTAAGCTGTATGTAAGAAAGAGTCACTGCTCTGATCCCCTATTAAGAATGTCAGTGTCACTCTTTATAATCTAGATCTACCTGCTTTAGCTTAATTAAATAAAACACTTTACTTCCTTAAAATCATTAACAATAGTGACTTTTTGGTTGTTGTTTTTACACCAAAGGTTTCCACAGTTTCTGAAAGACTGAGCTAATATTTTGTGTTTTATCATGGTATTTTTAGGGCAACAGCATATATGCATTTGTACTTAGGTACAACAGTTTGAAATATCTCTGAATTTACTTTTCCAATAAAAGTATCAGAAAAGTGAAAGCATCCTAATGCAAATCAGTCAAATAAAAAAATAAATTTCTATTTAAAGTTTATGTTCCAATATGAGATATAATAGCATAAGTTCTTCTAATAGAATTATTTTTTACAGCTGTATAAAGCCCTGAAAAGATTTGAGCACTGTTTTGAATGTGAATCATCTCTGTCTTGGTGTCTCAAATTTAATTCTACTCAGGAATGTGCAAATGATTTTATACAGCACGATGCTAGTACCGCTCTGTACTATAGTATTTTCTTTTGTAAATAAAAACAACAACAAATCCCTAGTCAGAAAGAAACTGACAAAATTTACATTCTTCTCTCTTAAAAAAGTAAATAAAATAACATTATTTAAAATGTGAATTAGCTATAAGACATACAATACAATTACATAGATACATATCAATACAGCACATTCAATTTGCCAAAAATTAATGATTACAAAGCCAATATGGATGCTGCCATATATATATATATATATATATATATATATGTATGTACAATGATTATAGCATTCATAATTGCACTATACCTACAACCAGTTTTAAATTACAAGGTGTTTTTAGAGGGAGCAAAAAATAGCAACTCTTCTTATTATTGTTCTTTTGGATTTGGGAGGGTTTCAGATGAAAAATATCTCATTAGTATTAATTGTTAACTTTGGTAATCAACTAATAAACCATTATTTTTTCACCTCCCATCTGCTGCTAAGTGACAGCCATTTTTGTGTTAAGTGCACTCTAGTGCCCGTTGGCATCAAAGATAATCAATCCAATTACATGTCTGAACTCTACACAGAGTTTTCTAGCTAGCAATCTTGCACCTGATCAAAAAACCTTTCAACCTAAGCTGCAGAATAAAGGCTCAACAATGTGTGCTGCACTTTTGTTGTTAAAAATTGCACATTTAAATTTCAAGAATGATTTTCTCACTACTTCATTTACATTTATAAATCTCTTCTAAAGAACACTGAGAGAGGCTTTTTTGCATAAAAGCCTATCAAATGCCTGTGAATCAATTAACAATTAACCTTATCAAAAAAGGTTCCTGAATGTGATCTCTCATCAATAACTTCTTGTAACACAACTGAAGGTGCCTTGACATTATTACAGAAAACAATCTCACGTCATGACTTACAAAATGAGAGATCTACATTATCTTTAAATTACTAGACTACATCCGGGTACAAAAGAAATTACCATGGTACACCTTATAGAATATTCACTTACATGTTGGTTTTGGCATTAGAAAATGGTACACTTTCTAAAAAAAGGAACACATAAGCTGAAACTGTGTGTTAATCATTTGGCAGTTGATTCAATCAGGTCAGTTCCCAACCCATCCATTTGGCATTTCAATCAGCATATGTTTCAAGCGCATTGGTTTTATAAAAAGCCAGATTTGGCAACATGAATTTTGTACAATAAAAATAATTTTTCTACTGTGGAAAACGAACATTTAAAAAAGCTCTAACTTAAGAAAAAACACCCCACACAACTGAGAAAAACATTGTTTCAGACTGCAGCCACTGGGGAAAATGTAGTGTCTATGACTTTTCTATTTGGCATTTGTGAATAAAATAAGAGAGAAAAAATGGCACATGGCAATTAAAAAGAGGTTCTAACATATTCCATGTACATCCCAGATTGTATCCTAATTACTTCATTACTGTCTTCTGTGCACCTTTCTTAACTGTAGAACTACGGTTACATTTATGATCCTTAGACAACTGTAATTCTATTTTACAATCCCAATATTCTAGTCTCAGAAGTGAAGACAGAATGAAGACACCCATGTAAAGAATTTAAAAATCACAGTATCAATACTATTTTGATCCTTCAAAGAAAGTACACACTATAAAATTAGGATGACTGATGACTTAAAACTGTGATGATAGTGTTTTCCTGACCAGATAATTCAACAGAAAATATTTCACCCAGGAATGCAACTGGGGGAAAAAAATGGCCATTGTACCTTTTAAAAGATATGGGGAGCAGGAAAGGAGGGGGAGAGAAAGGGTAAGGTAAAGAGAAAACCAGCTTGATTTTGCTTCAATAGCAAAAAACTGCTATCTTTTGTAAATGTATGACTGAGAATTTGAAACACATTGAGTCACACGGTTTTACCTAAAAAATGAGGAAATGTGCTGTGAATGTACTTCAGCATCTTTTGTTTTTCCTCCACATACTTTAAATAAAATTGTAATATTAACTACAAACTCTGTGGACATTCACAGAGTCCAGGCCAGCAATAAATTAGTATTATGCAAATTGTTTTCACAGATTATAATACAGTCCCTCTTGTATGTCTTCAATCACAGAAAGTTGGTTTTGGAGGATGCCCCAGGTACAGTTAGACCAGGTTGTACTCCTTCAGGTTTAACTGTAGGATTGTGTCCTTGACAGCAGCAAAGACGAAGCGGATGTTCTCTGTGTCTGTAGCACATGTGAAGTGAGAGTAGATAATTTTGTCACTGTCTGGATTCAGGTCTACGAACATCTTCAGGATGAACTCTCGCGCTGCCTGTGCATCCCGTTGTGGTCCTGTAAGAAAAATTCAGTTTTCTTAAAGCCTATTTTGTATTTCCACTCCTTTAAAAGAAAATAAGGAAGGTTTTGTCTGTGATCCCCACCTAAAAGAAGATGGGGAACCTTTTACTAATCAATAGTATCATATACTGGCTGTATTCCTTGTGGTAGGAACTATTAAAAATAAAGATGGAAAGAAATTTCAGATGTTCACCAAGTCAGAGCTGCTCTTTCACTGCTGACTATCTTTTCTTCACAAGATAAATCTCCTGCTTTAAAAAAATTAGCTATATAATTAAATCTTTTAAAAGTTAGTAGAAATGGTGAATGTTCAGTCTAAACATACTATATTTAAATTATACTTCAGTTTTTTTAGCACTGCAAAATTTACTAGTTCCATATGGATTTTAGGAGGAAGCACGGAGAAATTATATCTTGAACTGGGTCTGACACTGTCATCAACAGAACTTAATTTACTTTAAGTGATAATAAAATACACAGCTGCTCTCCAGCTGAAACTGTTGTCTGTAAAAGGCTCATGTTCTAATCAACTTAAAGTATCTAGTATTTTATCTGATATCTAACTTATGTATGCTAATGATCCTATCAGATCTAAATTAAAGTTGTAACTCTCAAAAGGACAGAGTCAATCTAACCAAACTAAACTAAAAGATTACAGAAGGTAATTACTTCCAGCCTCGAAGAGTGAGGATTCATTCATGTTCACAGCCAAAAGAGCAGTCCAGAGCAAGAACATAAGCCACATGCTGGTGAATCCTATCCCATTTTCTAGTGCTGCCACCGAAAGTCATTGTTCCCTTGCTCCCATGCTTCTGAAATGTCAGTTTCTACAGAACACACATTTTCTGCCCTGCTACCTCCTCCTATTTACTTCATTTGTCCTGTTGTTACACAGCAAGACAAATACCAGCACCCAGATGTTATGGGTCTGTCCTTCAGTAATTATAAAATCAATAGTTTTATGCCCAGTACATGTCCAGGCATTTTAAAAACTTGGTAACAGACCTAATTTTTAATACTTCAAGCTTAAAATTTGTGACACTCCCAAATTGTGTAACTGTAAAATTTAGGAAGGCAATGCATGAAAGAGAAAGCAGATACTTTCTGGTGTGCTGCAAATCTGTGTGGAAAGGGAGTAAGCTTTGGCAGTAAATGGGTGTATGCACATGAACAGATGTACATATATGTACATACATACATAGATTACACATTTTCTGAGATTTAGGGGTATAAACAGATAATAAGCTCTTTGAGGCAGGACAGAGGACTGTCCAACACTTCTACAGCTTCTAAAACACAACTGGCTCAAGCCTTTAGCTTGGTCACTCGACTCTATTATAGATAAAGAGCAGCAATATTAAGTCTCACAATAGCACATATATATGTAAGTATTTATGAAGAAAATTCTTGGGCTTCCAAAGACAATGATTTCCGCAAAATAAATCACTTCATTTTTTAGACAGTTTCCTAGAATTTTGTTAAACAGTTTCACAGTAGCTACACACAGCATTTTCTCAAGATCTATTGGCCTATTCAGAGATATACCCAAATTTGCACACCTCTACTCTCTCTTACGTTATTTAAACTTTTATCTGACTGAGGTTCAAGCAGAGAGAAGTATGTTTATGATCTCAAGAACTTAAAAAAAATTGAGTGAGTTAATTTTAAATTCAGATGGCAAAGTGGTTCTAGAAAAGAACTATCATATGAATTAGTAGCTTTCTTGCCCACTGCTCTCCCCTAATCAGCAGTTTTCAACAAATGGCTCTATATGATACCATGAATATCTATGTAGCAAGTGCTTCATCAGTATTTTTCTCTTCTTTTTTTCCCAACTATAGCCTCTTTTTGTGTTTGCCCTCTCTCCCTCTCCCAGCCTGTGAGTCAGCTGCCTAGTACTAGCATACAAAGTGTGGCTTCATGTGACACACTGACCTAGGAGCACAGCTTGGCCTCCCTTTCAAAGCTCTTACTAATGCACTGTGCAGCAGAACTCCTTAATTTAATCCATCCAATTTGCCACTCTGGACAGCAGTTCCCATCCCTAAGCTACTTTGTGAAGGTGAGAGAAGCAATCCAGCATTAAAATACCTATTTCTGATACCTTCCTCATATCTCCCACTTCCCATAGGCCCATTGTACTGGGATAGAAGAGGGGACCATGTGGTGACCTCTGCAAGCCACAGACTCCACCCTGCCACCAGAAGCAACCATATCATACTGTAACTTTTTCTCTGGAGTTAGGTCCTGCAAGATCCACAGAACTAGGAAACAAGAGATTCTCGAAGACTTGCAGGTTTTGACTCCCACATCCTTGATAGTCCATAATGGTTTTTTCCCCTCACCAATGACAACAGAGAAGAAAAACAAAGTTTCTTTGAACTGTTTGAATTATTTTTTTTCCCCAGAAAAGCATTTTACACAGGCTTTGTCATCACTTGTTACACAAATTAAATTCAAAAGAACAAGCATATTTCTATTCAACTGCCAGTTCTCTTCTGTACATTACTATGAAACTAAATTTACACTGACTCATAAATAGTGTGATCTGATCCTGCAGGCTTTTTACTGTTCTCGTCCTCTTTAACAGAAAACAAGAAGTATATTTTTCCCGTTATTACTTTCCATATTTGAACATGAATTTTAATTTTTTTCCCCAGCTTCTCAATCAGCTATTCTGTCTGGTGGGGACAAAATTGATTCTCTCTTAAAAAAAAAAAAGGAACATTTAGTTCTTTAGGCCTCTTACTATATGAGTTTGATTTTTCTCTGTTACCAAGGCCTCCTCCCCTCAGTTACCTCAAAATATGTACCTTTTCCCCTCATGAGAACTTCCTGAAAGTACAGCTTTAATAGAAACACTTATACAGCCTACAATTTTTTTTATGGTCATACATATTAACTTCACGTAATCAATGTAAAATTAAAACACAATTTTAAAAGGTACAATAAAAACGTAGAAGGGGTGGTTGCTCTGAATGTTACATAGAATTTATGACACTTCTCCTTAGGTATTCAATCTTACATAAAAGCAAACATAAAAATATAGAAGACTATATGTACAATTAAGGAGTATGCTTCTATTTATTTTTAACTGTTGTATTTCACCCTAATTTTTAAAAAAAGACAGAAAATGGTTCACTACTAATAAGACAATACTCATCTAAAAGTCAAAAATTTCCCAATAGAGGTTCTGCCATCCCACCCACAAGTCATTGCAGTATAAACCAAAATATTAGCAATCTAAAAAGTCCACAAAAGTTCAATCACATTTTACATTTTTTTAGTATTTTTTTAAAGGAATATACCAAAGGATCTGTCTAGCATTTGGTCAAGGCTAGCACAATTTGCCAGTACTACAGTGTAAATACAAAATGAGCCTTGATATCATTATACTTACCATCATACTCTGGAAAATAATCAACTAGATGGGAGTACATAATTTTCTCCTCCAGAAGATCTTTCTTATTTAAGAACAGAATAACTGAAGAGTTCTGGAACCATGGATATGTGATAATTGTCCTAAAGAGTGCTTTGCTTTCTTCCATTCGATTCTGGAATATAAAAGAGAGCAGAATTTTGGTGGTGATGAATTTTTTTTTAAAATAAATTCATGTGTTTTCACTCCATTTGGCAAAAGGATCCATTTCTTGTTTTGCACTTTCCTACAATATATAAGATCCAATTAATTAAACTGAAAGTAATAAGCAAACAGTAAATTAAAATATTGAGGCATCTTCCTTTTGCCTCATAATTCAGCTAGTTAAACATAAGTATTCTTTAAAACACTAGTCAAGAACATGAAAGTTTTAACAGGACTATTTGCAAAATCTGAATATGCAGTTACAATTGGCCAGCATACTGGTGGCTTTTGAAATGTATATAATTAATGGTAGAGACATATGCAACACCACAAGGCAACCAATTAAAGGTTTAAGAACATTATTTATTTTACTTGCCTTCCCAAATTTTGAATACAGAGTTCAGCAATACTTAGAGATCAGCTTAAAATAATTGCAAGCAAATTTAAAAGCTGAGAATATTTTGTCAATATCAAAGGTTTATGACATTGAATTTTTAAAAACTGTAAATAGTTAACTTTGTTTCTAGCATTGTTGCCAGATGAAGAATTATTTGCACCTGGACGAACACAATGCTTATTGTTCAGAACCCACTAGCCTATGGAAGAACACAACACTTATTCTGTAGGAAGGAAAATTGTAAAGCAACCAGGCAGCCTAGTTATGTTAACCTTTACCAGTTCACCAGGCAGTTAGGTATGACTTTGGAGTTGCTGGCCAGCAGGTACCACCAAAGAGAACCCCAGGACAAAAGAATGCATGTACAGAGGGGAGGGACCACATGTAAAGGATTTTGGGGAAATTATTATCATATGTATGTTTTTACTGGGAAAATTAATGAATATGTATATAAAATACAGTATATAAAATATCCTGTACTCAGCATGCACAGTATTTGGAGGAGCTATCCCCTCATGCATCTTGTCAAGTAAAAAATGCCTGTTTCTTAATGCTTACATTGGGGCTACATTTATTTTTATTGATTTTTGGTAACAACGCCACTGGATTAGCCTTTAATTCCTTGGCTGCTCTTGAAACCACTTTGCAATATAGCTGAAATACCAGCAAAGCCTACAGTTATTTATAGTCTAAAACTCTTTTGTCATTGTAGAATCATGTTACAGTCTGAACTCTTAGGCTGACTTGATGTGGTTAATACAGAGCCAGAGCAAATATGGTTTGTAACACAGGAACTAACTTACTCCTTTTACTATTATTTAAAGCTGCAGCCCCCTGAAAAGGCTTTCACCACAAAATGGAACTCCAGAGAATGACAAGAACGTGAATCCTGAAGATTCTGCTGTTGATGAGCCATACAACAATCTGTCAGATAACTCAGAAACTTTTGCTGTAAGTGTATATTTACTTCCATTAATTTGCATTTTAGAGAGGCCGACATAAACATGAATGGGAACTTGAAAAACCCAAAACAAACATAAAACAAAAAAGGAAAAAAAAAACCCAAATAGTAAGCTAATTCAATTTTGTAGCAAAAGCTGATGATTTGGTCTGTTAAACTTTATTGCATGTTGCTGTAGTGCATGAAAATAAATAGCTGAATTTATATACTGGGAAACTAATGCAGAGTAATAAAACTTTGCTTTCATGCAGTCAGCTCTCATGACTCATACTGATTTCAACAGTGCCAGGATTTCACTCTGAAAGGAAAGAAACGCTAATGTCAACACAGCTGAACATAAAACATAACTCCTTAGACAAGCTGTTAAAAAGATGGTATTTTCTTCTCAACATTTTATATACACTCCTTCTCTTAACAAGACCTTAAGAAAAGGCAATGGGAACTACCTAGTATAGTTATACCTGTTATATGGTCCACCTCCATGGAATACCTGCAACTCCAGAAATACTTGTTAGCAAGTATTAGTGTCTTCTTCACTAGACTAAACAAGCTCAGGTGCCTCACACTGTCTTCACAGGACATTGACTCTGGGCCCTCCATGCTTTTCCCAACAGATAGGTGACCATGAAATTGTATTTATAAACCCTTTGCATATTATTTCAAAGGGAAATGGAAGCAAATTGTATTAAGGAGGATAAACTGACATTTTGATATGCTGTCATTTACAGCTGTAGTCTGCAGATGTGTGGGAACTTAAAATGTCTTTTAGACATTTTTAGAGGTTCTAGGCCTTGGTTAGAAGCATTCTAGACCTTGGCAGGCAACTGAAAAACAGCTGTGATTTTGAGTTTGAGCTATGGAATAAATTATTAACTTTGGAGGTGGAATAAGCAATCACAAAAGGTTAGATAGTATAGTAAAAGTAGTGGTGAAATTTTTTTTAATATTGTACAGGGGGGTTTTAGCACATGTACAGGGGGGTTTTCACTTGTACATAGAAGTCAAAAGTTCTAAAATAGAGAAAAGTGGGCTAATCCTGTTCTTCCTCCTTCTTCTTCCTCACCTCCATATTCTTGGTGATGTTGGCACTCACAGATTGGTTTAGAGTAGAAAAACACTTAGCAACGTAAGTAGTAGGTATTGGGGAATAATTGTAAACATGTTATACGTAATATATCTTATAAAAGATAGCAGCAGCCCTGGGAGGGGAGAGAGACGAAGAAGACAGCAGACAGAGAGGATGTCAGGGTGTGTGTGTGCCTCTACCCAGGCCGCTGATCAAATAGCCGCAGTCCAAGAACATAATCTGTTAGATAACTAGCAATAAACTGCCTTGAGACCGAACAGCTAAAGCCTGCAGAGTTTTTCTGTGGAAGCACAGGTTAGAAAAAGAATTTCACCACCACATAAGGCCCCAAAGCAAAGCCAAAGTTCTCACACAGATGTTTTGTAGAAATTGAAAAATGGCCTAGAGATTTTCAAATAAATTTTGTCTGTATAAAGAAATACAGTTTGCCATAACATACTAAAATGCTATAATGATTTCATTAATTTACTATGACTGACTAATTAAGCAAAAATTTGAAGATATTAATTTTTGACCTATCAATCTCTGCTTAATTTTCTGCTGTCTTTCATATCTCTGTTTATCCAATTACTAAGGGCAATTCAACTTTTATGGTTGTCACAGCAGACAAAAACAATTTTTATGCCAGAGTAAATTCCTCCAGCAATACTGCTTATTATCCTCTAAAATTTGTCTTAAACTGGTTTTCTGTTTCTAATGATAGCTCACTCCTTTGCATGCTCACTCTCTTCCTTTATTGAACATATGTGCCATAATATTTTTTATCAGTTTAATTAAGCACAAGATCATATGGTCAAACTATTGTTCTGAAAAAAAACTTTAACAGAATGCACTGTTTCTTGTGTAAAAGATAGTTTCATGTTATGGTATTTTCACTGGAAGTAGGGATAGAATTACAAGGAGTATAGAAAGAGACCGGCAATGATTCTGTCAGATGCAATTTGAAGGAAGCTTTGCCAAATGAAGCAAGACAGTGTGGCTCTTCAAAAAAACAAAACAAACAAAACAAAAAACCCCCAAAACAACTCCTGCCAAAAAACACAAGAAAACCAACAAAACAAAACCCCCTATAAAACACCACCACAACAAACAAAAACCCAAAAACCAACAATGTGGAGCAGGCAATAGTTACTAGTCCGTCCAAGTACTTAAATCTCCTTTTATGAGTAGTGCTATCTCACCAAATTGTTTCCAGAAAAATCTTATTTCAGCTTCAACAAAAAAATGCTGCAGATAGAAACAAATAAGTAACATGCAGAAATGTGCAGCTGGATGTGGCCCAAGGCTTTCTCAGTAGCTGACAGCCAATGTCAGCAGTGAAGCCAAGCTTCAACAGCAACCCCTGTTCAACAGCAGCAAGAGCTCATCATAGCCACCCTGGCTTGGCACATGGAAAATGAGCAGCAGGATACTGTCTTCACCATCCCTAAAGATCTGCTGGCCTGGGCAACTTCACTGCTCAGTTTTTGCCTGCAGCCAATCCCAAATTACGTAAAAATATATTGACATCACCAGCTGTTCCTCTATTTTTCTTGTTAAGATATACAGATGCCAGTGTAAAATTCTCAATCTTCCATACAACCTGACAGTTGCCAGTCTAATGTAAAAACATCATTATGAAACAGGGTAAGAAATACAGCAGACATACTCCAATAGTGAATTTGTTAACTATGAACAGATTAATCTTGGACAAAATTATCCTAATATTTAAATAAATAAGCAAGAAAAAACACTGTAACACTGTACTTACTAACAAATTACATGATTGTCCAACTTTATGACTAGAAATGTTTTTATGAGACAAAAATAAAATATAATTTATATCAAGTACCTCTTATATAAAATACTTTATACTGGAAAGTAAAACCATGTTTCCCACATTTTTATCCAAGATCAAACCTATACTTCCTTAAATTTTAATGGATTAAAAAGGAGTATACTTCCTTCCAATTTCATTTTTGTAGGTCCACTTTCAATTTTCCTATTAAAATGATGGATTTCTAGTTTGGATGTAAATACTGAAATTCTCTTCGCTATCTGTTGCTCTGGAAAAATGCAATTACTCCTACAATTAGAGAAATAATAAAATTGGGGTAATGTATAAGTACTCAACTCTCACATCCTGAAGAATACATGCAAGAGTGCTAAAACAGCATTTAAAAGCTGAATCAGCTGGTACCCAGTGAAGGGAAAGCAGCATTTCACAGCTAAAAGCACTTAGTAAAACATTAACCTGAAAAAACAGAGGAGCACTAGTGAAGTTTCACTATTGTTTCATTATTGTCTTTACGACTATCTAGAGTGGCATCTAGTGGGCATACTGTAACTCACACACTGAACGAAAAATGTAGTAATTACTTTTCTCTTTAAAAATAATGTTAGCAATTCAAGTAGTGTCTGTTAAAAAAAATTAGGATTTCACATATTCCTAGGAACTACATTTTGTTGGAATGCAGTGAGAGATAAGGTGGCAAGGAGATAAACAAACATGCATTTTTCAGTAAACAACTTGTGTATGTAACTTGT